GCCAGCAACACACCATGTGATCCTGAGCAAGTCCCTTTCCTTCACCATAGCCCCAGTTTCCATTCATAAAACGAGGAGATGGGATTCAGTCACTCTTGTGGTACTTTGCAGCGGTAACGTTTCATGCTCCTTTCTGTGCCCTACTGGTCATGCCAAGTGTCTAAGAAAGGCAGTGATTGGCCTAAGTCACCTAGCAAGTTGGGGAAGGAGGCAGAAAGTGCACCCGCTGTGAGCAGCAGGAGGCCGTGTTCTGTTCACTGCTGGGACAGTCATAGCACCTTGCTAGTGCCTTGCACACAGTAGGTACTTGATAGATTTACTGAATGAATGCATGCACGTTTCTAGACTCCTGAGTTAGTGTAGATTCCAGAAGCTACTGCCTTTCTGTTAGGATTCTAGAAATAAGCCCTCAACTTCCCCACCAGGATGGTTTGTTACCAAATGGGGATCCAATCCTTTCTTTTTTTTTTTGAGACAGAGTCTCACTCTGGGAGTGCAGTGGCACAATCTCGGCTCACTGCAAGCTCTGCCTCCCAGGTTCACGCCATTCTCCTGCCTCAGCCTCCCAGGTAGCTGGGACTACAGGCGCCCGCCACCACGCCCGGCTAATTTTTTTGTGTTTTTAGTAGAGACGGGGTTTCACCGTGTTAGCCAGGATGGTCTCGATCTCCTGACCTCGTGATCCGCCTGCCTTGGCCAACACTTTTTTTGTAATTGAGGTCAGAACTGTCTAGGAAAGGAGAAGCTGGGATTTATCCCTAATTTCCCACGGGGACCTGGAACCAGTGCAGCTCACAGGAGAAGCAGGACTAATCTGCAGAGGAAAGTGTCACATAAACTGTCAACAGGTATGTGTGGCAAACCAGGTGCGTGGGCTTGCATCTTAAGGACTGAATGCGGTTGAGTCCTCTGGAGGATGCCAGCACTGTGGAGATGCAGGTAGGACCTGAAAGCGTTGTCAGAGTGGCTGGAGTGCTCCCTAGCACTGAATAGGGAGGCAGGCAGCTTAGAGTGGGATCCTGGGCTCTATGCCAAAATGCAATCCAATGTTTTTGGAGATTCAGTAGGATAATAAATTAAGGCTGAGGTGAGGCCATCAACAGGAGAATCTTGTTTCATATTCCAGCTAGATATTCTTTAATCTATTGTTATATATATATACATTTAGAGATGGCCCACTGCCCAGGCTGGAGTGCAGTGCCATGATCCTAGCTCATTGTAGCCTTAATTTATATGTAGCTTAAGCTCCTGGGCTCAAGCAATCTTGCCCCCTCAGTCTCCCAAGTAGTTGGGACTACAGGTGCCCAACACCACCACCAGATAATTTTAAATTATTTTTTCTGTAAAGATGGGGTCTTGCTGTGTTTCCCAGGATGGTCTTGAACTCCAGGCCTCAAGTGATCTTCCTGCCTCAGCCTCCCCAAGTGCTGATTTAGGCATGAACCACCATACCTGGGCCATTCATATATTTACTATTTTATTTATGTTTATGGAAGCCACAAGATTCTCAGCAGTCAATTACAGCATTCAAGAATGATTTCTCAGCTGGGCGCAGTGGCTCACGCCTGTAATCCCCACGCTTTTGGGAGGCCAAGGCAGGTGGGTCACCTGAGGTCGGGAGTTCCAGACCAGCCTGACCAACATGGAGAAACCCCGTCTCTACTAACAATACAAAATTAGCCAGGCATGGTGGTGCATGCCTGTAGTCCCAGCTACTTGGGAGGGTGAGGCAGGAGAATTGCTTGAACCTGGGAGGCGGAGGTTGCAGTGAGCCAAGATAGTGCCATTGCACTCCAGCCTGGGAAACAAGAGCTAAACTCCGTCTCAAACAAAAAGAAAGGATAATTTGTCTTCTAAAGAAGGGTCTTATGTTATTAAATCCAGGGCTTTCAAACTCTTTTGAACCCATCCTTAAAAAAATACCTTTTCCGGCTGGGTGCAGTGACTCACACCTGTAATCCCAGCACTTTGAGAGGCTGAGGCGGGCGGATCAGGAGGTCAGGAGATTGAGACCATCTTGGCTAACATGGTGAAACCCCATCTGTACTAAAAATACAAAAAATTAGCTGGGCGTGGTGGCAGGCGCCTGTAGTCCCAGCTACTCAGGAGGCTGAGGCAGGGGAATGGCATGAACCTGGGAAGCGGATCTTGCAATGAGCCAAGATCGCGCCACTGTACTCCAGCCTGGGTGACAGAGCAAGACTCCATCTCAAAAAACAAAACAAAGCAAAACAAAACAAAAACAATAATAACAAAAAAACCTTTTCCATCAGGATCCAGTACACACGAACAGATATACTACTGGAATAAGAGTTTCAAAGAAACAAAACTTGACTGTAATATATGTAATGCATTCTTAATATAGTGGTTCTCAAAATGGTTTGGGACCAGCAGCCCCAACATCACCTGAAAACTTATTAGAAATGCAGATTCTTGGCCAGGCACCATGGCTCACGCCTGTAATCCCAGCACTTTCGGAGGCTGAGGTGGGTGGATCACCTGAGGTCAGGAGTTCGAGACCATCCTGGCCAACATGGCGAAACCCTGTCTCTACTAAAAATACAAAAAAAAAAAAAAAAAATGGAAGGGCGAGGTGGCAGGAGCCTGTAATCCCAGCTACTTGGGAGGGTGAAGCAGGAGAATTGCTTGAACCTGGGAGGCGGAGGTTGCAGCGAGCCAAGGTCATGGGTGATAGAGGGAGACTCTGTCTCAAAAAAAAAAAAAAAAAAAGAAAAGAAATGCAGATTCTTGGGCTCAACCTCAGATAAGCTGCCTCAATCATTCTGCGAGATTTACGAAGTGATTCTGATACATGCTAAGGTTGGAAAACTACTACACAGTATAGTATAGACTATTATTCTAATCTATTTAATTAAAAAACCAAGCTGTTGATTATAAGCCACTATGTTTGGGGTTAGCTTAAAGGCTACCTAAAAAACCTCTGAGGTCTTGCCCAGTTGTTTTCCAGCTTCCCTCTCCAAACTCATCTCAGACCATCTGCTCTTTGCAACCTTGCTCTAGCCAACTTCAGCCAGACCCACTGCTTTGCTGGCTCTTAAGCCTGCAGCCCTTTCTGCTCCTGAACCTCTGCCTGCAGTGCAGCCCTGCCTGGACACCTCTTCTCCCAGCTCTTGGGTGGATGGCTCTTGCTTAGTGAAGTCTTAGCTCAGATACTTTTCTTCAGAGAGACTGCCCTGGCTAAATTGGTCTCAGCTGGTATATTTTATTTTTGTCATAGCTCTTAGCACAATTGATCATTATCTGCCTGCAGTTGAATCTCATTTGCGTAGAACAATGCCTGGCATATAGTAGGTCCTCAGTAAATACAGTCACACACCACCTAATGACGAACCACATATATGACACTGGTCCCATATGATTATAGCACTGTATTTTTACTGTACTTTTTCCAATTTAGATTTGTTTAGATACATAAGTATTTACCATTGTGTTACAGTTGCCTACAGTATTCAGCACAGTAACTTACTGTACAGGTTTGTAGCCTAAGAACAATAGGTACACCATAAAGCCTAGCTGTGTAGTAGGCTGTGCCATCTAAGTTTGGGTGAGTGTATTCTATGATGCATTTCTCAGAACGTATCTCCATCATTAAGTGATGCCTAACATGACTATATTTGTCAAAGGAAAAAAATGAATGGGTACTTCTCAACCCAGAATGCTCCCCTGATGAGTGTTTTGAATCCACAAATCCTTGGTGACCCCTCCTAGTGACATGGCCTTTCCTCCCTCCAGTGAGGAACCCTGCCACCAGAGGGTTTTTCTTCCCTCCAGAAGAAGGAAAAAAATACTGAGAATTCTGTCTCCTGGATGTTCCTTGCCTCTCTAGTCCTCCACCATTCCCTGTGTGCAGTGATTAAATCAGAGAAATGTAGAGTAAATAGCACCAGGCTTGAACTTAGGGCACCTGGGTACAAGGGAGGGTTCAACTGCAGCCTGACTGTTTGGCCTTGGGTAACTTACTAAGTGTCTTTAGGCCCAGTACAGTAGGGGTCATAAAACCTGCTCATGGCCGGGCACGGTGGCTCAAGCCTGTAATCCCAGCACTTTGGGAGGCCGAGACGGGCGGATCACGAGGTCAGGAGATCGAGACCATCCTGGCTAACACAGTGAAATCCCGTCTGTACTAAAAAATACAAAAAACTAGCCGGGCGAGGTGGTGGGCGCCTGTAGTCCCAGCACTCGGGAGGCTGAGGCAGGAGAATGGCGTAAACCCGGGAGACGGAGCTTGCAGTGAGCGGAGATCCGGCCACTGCCCTCCAGAGCGAGACTCCGTCAAAAAAAAAAAAAAAAAACCTGCCCATTCTCCCTTATCGGGTTATCAAGGGTCACAAAGGATAGAGCTTATGAAAATGCCAGGTATTACAAAGAATTCACCAACTTAACACCTAAAATATTGACCCATAGACCACATTCACAGCACGGAGGCACAACCTTCCTGATATGGGTTGGGTGTTCGTTCCCTCCAAATCTCATGCTGAAATGTGATCCCCAATGTTGGAAGTGGGTCCTTGTGGGAGGTATCTGGGTCATGTAGGCAGATCCACCATGAATGGTTTGGTACCATAATGAGTGAGTTCTCACTCTGTTAGTTCATGTGAGAGCTGATTGTTTAAAAGAGCCTGGCACCCTTCCTCTCTCACACGTGCTGCCAGCTCCCCTTCCCCTTCTGCCATGAGTGGAAGCTTCCTGGGGCCTTACCAGGAGCAGATGTCAGTGCCATGTTTCTTGTACAGCCTGCAGAACCATGAGCCAAATAGACCTCTTCTTTATAAATTACCCAGCTTCAGAAATTCCTTTCTAGCAATGCAAAGGGACTAAGACACCTCCCAAGGAAGTTGGGAGAGCTTGGGCATGTAAGTCCATGGTAGAGCGTGCAATCACGAAAATACCTGTGTGAATTCTAAAAGGAGCCCCTGAGCCATAGAGTAGAAAAGGGAGCTTTTAGTAACTTGCATAAGGATTTTCATGTTGTTTGCAAGTCATTTAATGCAGGTGGGCATGCATCATGATCCATAATACTCCTGCGCTCCCGCCTCCAGCCATCCTTGGCCTCTTCACCTTCACGTCCTCCCTGCTGGAACCCAGCCTGGAAAAATGGTGAGTTGAGCTCCCCCTGGGGGGCTCCCATGGCTGTCCCCTCCTTCCAGAGGCATGTATGGGGGTGAATGTGGGCCGGGAGGGATCTTGGAACATCACGCTGTCTGATGACTGGCAGGCCTTCGGCGTCACTGAGCTTTCACACCTGAAACCATTAAAGGTTATTCTCCTTTTAATTCTTTATGGTCGTTCTCACTCCTTCCTTAGAGAAACCTCTGATTTTCACTTGCGAGACGCTTGGCTGAGCTTGTCATACCCTAAAAGGTGATTTCAGTTCTCCGATGCCAAAGAGCCTCTTCCGCTAATCAAAACACAGCTGCAGAGGCCTGTGTGATCTGCTAATGGGCACCCCAACTCTGGGGTATGTCTGTCTGTACCTGGGAAAATAGATGTAATTAGGATAACAGATATCATATGTATATGCAAATGTAGCAGGTAAAAATGACTAGAAATGAGACAGGGCTGCAGTTTGCCAAATCCCATCAGACCAGCTATGCAGCTTAACCAGATGCTAACACCATCACCACCAGGCTTTCCCCGGTACCAGCTCTGGTGCCCTTGCTTCATCTTCTTTTCTCCACCATGCTGCAACCCTAATGCAAGTTATTTTTATTTTATTTTTTTATATATAGGATCTCTGTTGCCCAGACTGGAGTGCAGTGGCACAATCAAGGTTCACTGTAGCCTCAAACTCCTGGATTCAAGTGATCCTCCCACCTCAGCCTCCTGAGTAGCTGGGACTATAGGCCTACACCACCATGTCCAGCTAATCTTTAAATTTTTGTAGAGACAAGATCTTGCCGTGTTGCCCAGGCTGGTCTTGAACCCCTGGCCTCAAGCAATCTTCGCATCACAGCCTCTCAATGTGTTGGGATTGCCTCTTTTTATTTTTTAATATAACAATAGATCCCCGTAGTTTTCTGAAGAGGCTCTTTCAAGAGCTTCAGATCTTATGAGGCTGCAGGGATCCTAGCATCTGAGAAGCTGGTGGGGGAAAGATGGACAAAAGAGAGGGCCTCTTCAGTGTTTTTCCTTTAATGAGGGTTTGATCCCCACAAGGACAGCATCAGGATTGGAGGGGACCTGATGCGTCATTACCAATCCGGAGTTGCCTTTTGCAAAGAGAACAACCCTGTAAGGATGAGAACCACCCCAAAGCTTCTTGTCTGGAGTCAAGAGGCTCAGGCTGAAGTTCTGTTTCTGCCTCTTCCTTGTGGTGTGCACTTAGGCAAGTGACTTACCTCTCTGTGTCTTGTGTTCTTCACCCTAAAATGGGCACAACAACAGCACCCACCTCAAAAGGCCTGCAGGACATAAGCCCTCAGATGATGTCTTCCTTTGTGATAGGTACATAGGCAGGTGAAGAGAGATAAACATCAGGCCCAGGGTTCTCACTCCACTGCATCACTCCGTCTACCTGCCCACAGATAAATCACTTCACCTCTCTGAGTCTCAGTTTCTTCATCTGTAAAGTGGGCTAATGATGGATGTCATAGTGCTGCTTAACTGTAAACAACAACATGCCATTAAACAGAAGCTAGTTACGCATGTTGAGTAATGACATCTGCATTTTGGGGGAGTGCCAAGTCTGATAAGATTGAAGAGCATTTCAACTGGGCGTGGTAGCTCACATCTGTAATCCCAGCACTTTGGGAGGCTGAGGCAATGCCCTGTGTCTGAGAGGGGTTAAGGAAGTCATCACTCCCATCTGGTCTATCAAAAGGGCTGCCAAACTATGCAGGCAAACGACTTGGGCACTGCCTTTATCGAGCTGTGCAGTCATTGAACAAGGGCATCCAACTTCACCAAACTAGGAGGGCCTGCGTATGCACATCCATCTCTGTTGTTGGGACTGGGGCCTGTGCCTGTTTCCATTCTGTATGCTGTGTGCTTGACACAGTGCCTGGTGCATTACATGCTCAATAAATATGTATTGATTGATGGATGAATAAATGAAATCATCTGCATCCATGGATGAATAGATGGTCAATTACATTGTCAATATTCTACCCTGTGGGTGGAGTGGAAAAAGCAGTCAGAATCTTGGTCCTTTTGCACATGGTGGAAGAGGACAATATTTGTAGAGTGTGTACAGACTTTGCAGTCAGAGCTACGTTCAATTCTCAATATCGCCATATCTTAGCAGTGAGCTTATTCAAACTTCAGTTTAAGAAAACATGCTAACCTTCAGTTTCCTCATCTGTGAAAAGTGGATAAAAATATTGCCTCCTTTATAAAATTATTGTGTAGATGCTATACATTTGTACATGCCAGGGCCTGCCATGTCACCAAGTGGAAGGTGGTAGAATGGAAATGAATCTCCTTCTTTCTTCCCCTCTGCACTACACAGATTCCAAGCATGTTGTTTTATACCCAGCCAAGTCTGAAGCCCTGGAAGTGGATCTGATCTTTTACCTGTCTCTAGCATTGATGTTTTTTATTCTGTTGAAGGCATCAATATTTGTTCAATAGTATAAATCTTAAATAAGCATCTAAACTACATATTACAGATGATGAAAGTCGTTTCTGCACAGAAGATTATCTCACATGATCGTGTTTCCTTCGTTATCTGGGGCCTCTGTAGTTGGCAAATCTCCGCAGCTACTTAAATGATAACATTAGTCCTAATGCCATGTAAAATGACTAGTTCCTCAGGGTAGGTTTATTTTTAATAGTGTATGTCAGCAGCAAATAGCTTGGAAGACCCCAGAGGAAAAAGCACAGCTCAGGCTCTCACTGAAGCGATGATACAGATATATTTAATATCTATATTAAAAACCTTTTAGGCACCATGGTGATATTGAACTGGATAGTTAGGCATGTGCAGGGAAAATCCTGGGCTGTTTATAGAGCGTGATGCAGTGTGCATAGTAGAAACCTTTTGAGGTTCTTCTAAGTCAAATTTGGGCCTCAAAAATCTTTGACAGACATTTGACCCCAGTAGTAAAATACGCTGAAACACAAGCTGGGAGAATAAAATTACTTCCTTTTCTCTTTTTTGGTAAGCCTGTTGATAAGTTTGCTGCGCTATTAAAATGTTTAATCACTTGCCTCCAGCAAGAGCAAGCTTCTGTCTGAAGTTGCAATTTATTAGAGTGCCCAGAACATACTTGCTGTTTATCCAAAAGATGGCCAGGGAATTCTTACAGAGAAAACAAACCACAATTTGAAATCAAGCATAGAATGGCAGATGAATAGATCGAAGGCAAAAATTATTTTGGAGTTGATTTCAGGGGAGACATGATAAAACCTGCACTGATTTTCTATCCCAAAGGCACAGGGTTAAATCATACAGTGGCCACAGGTCTGGCCTGTGAGATATCCCTGGGACAGATGGTAAAAGTGGTGCCAGGCCTGTCCCAGGGAGGGGAGAAGAGGCAGCAGAGGAAAGGGCTGCTTGCTAGAAGCATACCTTCCAAGAAGAGGCATTTCTCTCTGCTTTCAGGTTTGGTCAGAGAAGCTCAGCCTGGAAGGGCAATAAACAGATAGGTGCCTGGTTTCAGCAGAATGCTATGCCCAAACCCCTCCTCCCTCCTTCTCTTCTATGGACCTCACTCTGGCCTTTCAAACTCATCCCAGGCAAACTGAGTCATGGGGCAGGGAAATGCCTTCAAGACAGTGAGCATCATTCAGTTATGGCTCCCGAAGGCCTCTTGCTAGTGGCACAACACCATGGACCTAGCCCTTGAAGGAAGAGGAGAGAAGGAGCGCCTTGGAGGGCCACGGATAATTAACTCCTTCCAGAAACTGGTATCCAGGACTATGCCTCGGAGGGCACCTACAGATAATGAGCCTACCATCAGGTCACAATTTTCTAAACACAGATGTGTAAAGACATAAGGAATTTCCTGTTTATCATCCTGTCTTTGCCTATACAAATTCCTTTTTAAATCTGGATGATTGTATCCCAAACTGGGTTATAAAGAATAACAGATATTCTGGCAGAAAAGAATACTACGGCTTAATACATTTGGGAAATACTGCATACCTTGAATCAACAGATACAATGGCATATTAATGACTCTCCTATGTCCTGAACTGAAAACTAGCAAACAAAACTGGTTTCACTCTGTTTCCCCCAGTGTTTCTCCAAATGGTTTGGCTACGAACTGCTTTCTTCACAGAACAGCTATCATCATCTTACCTTTGTGGAAGGCAGTTTAAGAATTGCTGTGTTATGGTAGGCAGAATTCTAAAAATGCCCTTGTTTTCCCCAAGATTCTCCTCTTCTGTTGATTCAATTGAATATTTACACAAATGCTGCTGAGAGGGAATTTTGCAGATGCAAGTAAAGCCCTAAGTAAATCGACTTTAAAATATGGAGAGTATCTGGGTGAACCTGACCCAATCAGGTGACCTCTTAATTGAAAGGGTGAGGATTTGATGTTCCTTCTGTGGCTTTGAAGGTGGAGGGAACCCCATGAGAAGGAATATGGGCAGCCTGGAGAGGCAGAGACCAACCCCAACCCCCAGCTGACAGCGATGAAATGGGGACATCAGACCTGAAGCCACAAGGAACCGGATTCTGTCAACAACTGTAAAAAACTGGAAGCAGAATCTTTCCCAAAGCCCCCAGATAAGAACCCAGATGGCTGACACTTTGATGTTGGCCTTGTGAGACTCTGAGCAGAGTCCAGGTGAGACTACCTGGACTTCTGACCTGTAGAATTGTGGGATATTAAATGGGTGTTGTTTTAAGCTGCTAAATTTGTGGTAATTCATTTTGCAACGACAGAAAACTACTACATACTGATTCAGAGAAATCAAAACAGAAGTGGTACACTCTTCTCTACCCTTTTACATTCACACGGTGTTTCCAATGTAACGCTCATGTATGGTCAGGGCAGGTGTCTCTGTTTTTACAGGTGATGATATAGACTCAGAGAGATTAAGTTACTTGCCCAGGACACTCAGCTAGGAAATGGGGGAAGGGGACTTGAACGGGCTTTTTTGTGTGTGAGTTAGGATGGGGTGGGGGCGTGTTTCCTTTACTGTCTTTTGCATTCAAATAGGAAAAGGCATTTGGAGAGACTGCAGTTGGGAGCTTGCAAAGGAGGATGTAAAAAAAAAATCAGGGAAGAACACATCAAGCAGCCGGTTCAACTGCTTCATCAGAGAGGTCCTTTCTTTCATCTCTTGTGTCTGAGCAGAAAAGCTTGTTAGAAAAAGGACCTACAGCTGTGAGTCAGTGACAATGTGTGGGGGCAGGGTCTTATGAGGCCACCGGAAGTGGGCTGCTGGGATGCTTTATACGGACAACTAAGGGTGAAGACACGCAGGCCTGTAATATCAAGAGAAACAATGTTTGCAGGCTGACCGCCCAGATGGGTGGTTTGCAGAGGTGGAGCTGCCTGCATAATTAATCAGCTCTAGCTTTCTTCGCCACAACTAGCATTCCTACCTGTACCCGCAGCCCTTGAGGGGCCCCTCACTCAGTGTCATGGAGCAGACAAGTCATCTGGGACCACTGCCCACTAACCCCCATGGACAGAAGTGGAGACTGAAGCCCTGAAAAGGAACAGGACTTCCTCAAGGTCACAGTCAAGGATCCCCTAACATATGACAATTCTCTGTGTTGGTTAGTGATGACTTCCTGATGAGCCAGTATTCCTTACTGAGCAAATTTAGTGTGTGTGTATGTGTGTGTGTGTGTATGTGTGTGTGTTTTGTGTCCAGTATGAGAGTCAGAACTGTGAAGTGTTATTATTGTCCTAATAATAATAGAAGTCAATACCCACAGAGTAGAGACCCAGTGCTTGATGCTGTCTTGAAAGTGCTTCGTGCTAACCCCATTCTCACAGCAAGCCCATGAGGTAGTCAGGAAATCATTAGGGCTCTTAACAAATGTTTCTGTCCAGAAGTGGATCCAGGTTTTGCAGAGCTTAAAGCTTATCCAATTTGTGGGGACCTCTTGAAGGAAAGGAATACCAACTTACAAATATAAATTAGGCACAAGGCCTCATGAAAGAGAAGAGCTTGGAAGCATTACAGTAAGTCTGTTAGTTGCACGTTAATGCTCCCTGCCCCTTGTGAAGTTACGCAAGAGAATGACTTGCTTTGACCAAGGGGATGTGAATGAAATTGATGTGTGTCACTTCTGCGTGGAAGTCTTAAGATTTAGTGGGTGATTCTCCACTTTGTTTCCTAACCCTGACTCCCATGGTCCCTGGATTGACCATGGAAACGTGTGCCAAGATGGAACCTCCTTTGCCCTGGAACTCTGAGTCTGTGATATCTAGAGCAACCTCTCTCTTAACCCTGCCCTGTGTCAACCGACATGAGATCTGGAGTGTAAGTAAGAAATAAACTTTCGTCTTGGTAATTCACTGAGATTTTGGAGATTTTTTTTTTTTTAACCACAGTGAACATCACTTAACCTAACTGATATAGGCAGGGTCTTATTATTGTTTCCGTTTTCCAGATGAGAAAATTGAGACATAGAGAGATTCAGTTACTTGCCTGAGATCACCCAGCTAGTTAATGGTAAAACTGGGATAAATGGCTCAGTGTCTTTGTTTCTAGGTGACATTAGGGAGTGGAGGGGACTTCAGCAAACTGAAGATATTTGTTCCATCTGAAGACTGCTTCTGACTTCCTGCTGATGGTTGTAAAAGAGGAATGTAGGCCTTCATTGCCAGATCCTCTCATTTTTTTTTTAAGCAGAAGCCAAAAATCCAGCATTTTAATGTAAAACCAACTGATTGAAATATTTTCTTTTTCTTTTTTTAAACACCATGAAACTAAGACATCAGTGAGCTAGGAGGCTTGGTTCATCAGTTTGAGACCTTACAATATCCAAGTTTTCTTTAAAAACAAAACACTAAAAATTCAAGCCACTAACAGGTAGTGACATAGCCATGGTAGTCTGAGAAGGCTTTGGTGGGGAGGTAGGACTGTGGCAAGATGTCCAGTGCCCAGAGAGGTTCCCTGCACTAAGATGATAGGGGTCGGGGATGTTCCTGGGCTGGGGATGGAAAGAGAATAGTCACACAGATTTTCAAAGACTCAGTCACATCAAAAATGTTTTGTGGTCAGGCACAGTGGCTCATGCCTATAATCGCAGCACATTGGGAGGCTGAGGTGAGGCTGGGCTTGAGCCCAGGGGTTTGAGACCAGCTTGGAAAACATGGTGAAACACTGTCTCTATATAAAAATTTTAAAAAATTAGCTAGGCATAGTGGTGGGAATCTGTAGTCCAGCTACTTGGGAGGCTGAGGTGAGAGGATTGCTTGAGCCTGGGAAGTTGAGCCTGTAGTAAACTGTGAATGAGCCACTGAACTCCAGCCTGTGCAACAGAACAAGACCCTGTCTCAACAAAAAATGTTTTGCTAGGGTTATCCAAATTTTTATAGGAGGCTGTCATACTCACGCACAAATACTCCTCGAGGAAACACTAATAGTTTCACATGATGCATTTCTAGAAGCTTTCATATCACCATGCCCCGTGGGGTTGAGCAGGATCTAGCTGAATGTCATTGAGTCAAAGAGTGAGGAGGCTGTCACTGAACAAGCCTTCCTGAAAACAGGAGATCTCCCTGGATCCAAAGAAGGCAATTCCCTGATAACTCCTTGAAGAGGCCCAGGTGTTTCCATGTACCTCATCTCTTCAGCTGTCTTGTGGGGCTCCGTTCATTCTTGGGGAGTGGAGACAGTGAACAGTAAAGGTTATGTCCAAGAGGCCCTCACGTGAAAAGTGAAAAGGAAAATCAAGGTCAGATGAGACCAGTGAGCGTTTGGCACACCTGACCTCATGCATTAACCCAGAGGTTCTCAAAGCGTCAAAGGGGACTTGAAATGTCATAAGAATAAATGAACCATTTGTGGAAACAGAATCATGTGGGCAAAAACATTTGGAAAACACATTATGCAATGAAACAAGGTCCTTTGCTGCAGAACTTCTCAGAACATTTAAAAAGCCACATGCACTGTGTGTGCCTCTAAGAGGGCAACACTCTCTCTACCTTTTTTTTTTTTTTTTTTTTTTGCAGAAGCTTTTGGGAAAGAATGTGATAGAAAACTTTCTTTGAGATGTGCTGTCTCTTTTCCTTTGTGGGTTCTCACCTCTGAATATCTTGGTCACTTCCTCTCCAGGTTTCTTTTAGAATTGCAGTTTTCTCTTTTCAGAAAAGGAGGCATTTCTATTTATTCATTAGTTTTCAGAGTGACCCGTGGAGATCGGAGAGGTTATTGCATGCCTGGCACTGTAACCCCACGAGTCCTTGAGCTCTCTGGGCTGGGCACAAGCACCTGCCTTCTCTTCAACTCAGCGGTGACTTCAACAGTTGGAATTTCCAGCTCAAAGGAGGTTCTTTAAGGCAAAGAGACAATGACACTTGGGAGGTAGCAGCCTCAAGGAAACAGTCTCTGCCTGGGGACACGTACTTGGGAGGAGGAAAAGGAAGAGGAGGAGGAGAGAGAAGCCCCTGAGTGGCTGACCAAAAGGGGCCCCTTTTATGGCCTTCCTGTTTATGGCTGAGAAGTAAACAGCTCAGGAGCCAGGTTGTCTCCCTCCACAGCTGGGCCACTGGTTCGAGCTGGCCGGGGACCCTCTCTTTCTGGGTGGCAATGGGCGGAGAATCTGCCAGTCACGCTCATCTCAGAATGCATTTTTAAAAAGTCAGCATCTTGGGCATATTTCCTTCACCCCGTGCCATCTTCTTGGCCCACACCTCAGTGGTCTTGCTTCTTTCAGGAGACAGTTGGAGATCTGTGTGTGCAAGCTTGGGGGTCAGATCCCAGCTGCAGCGCGAAGCAGCTGTGTGACTTCCGGGGAGCCCTGTACCTCCCTTATTCTCATTCACAGTGATGAGTAGTAGCCCCTTCCCCCCAGGGATCTAAGAGGATGTGCAGACTGTGCCTGTGAACTTGCCTGGCATGTGGTAAGTGACAATACATGTTTACTGCTATGACTATTATTTCAGTTGCCCTCTGGGCTCAGTCAGCCTCAGCTTCCAGGGGGTGGAGAGCTGGGGTCCTGGTTGGGGGCAGGGGCTCAGGCTTACCTCCCAGAGGGACTCCAGGGGCCTTGGTCCAGGCAGCAGCTCTCTCTGAATTAGCGCTGGGAGTGCTTTGCCTCCTGAGAAACGCAGGCTGTGATGGAGCTGGGAAGGTGCTCCAGCTAACATGAGGAAGACGGCGCCGGGGGCAGCTAACACCAGGAGAATCAATAAACTATAATTATCAAGAATGGTGTCTGTGGGGGGTGGGGGCAGAGGGAAACAGAGGAGGGGGTGGGACAATGCCAGAGAGAAGAAACATCGAGAGCAAGACACACACACACACACATACGCGCACACACACACGCACACACACACACACTGAACAGATGCAGAAAAAGTGTGCGAGCATGAAAAGAGAACCGAAGTGTGTGCTGTGCTCAGCCCTCCTGTCCTGTCCCCTCAGGGTGGGTCTGCCTTCCTGGACAAGACAGAGGAAGTAAGAGCCAGACATCTATTAGCTCTTTACATTTCCCAAGTCCTTGTCCACATCAGTCCTTTAACTCTTGGATGCAGGGAAGAAATGTTCTCACGTCTGCTTACAATGTCTAATCTATTAACTTAGTTATGTTCAGATTTTAAAACAATATATATTTTTTTTATATTGAGTGTAGTCTGTTAGGCTAGAAATAGTATTTCAACATTACCCGCACCTTCATCATCCCTGGATTGAATGCTACTTTTCAGACCCACTGCTCCTGCAAGGTTTCTTTTATTTATTTTAAAAATATTTTTAGAGACAGGGTCTCACTCTGTCACCCAGGCTGGAGTTCAATGGCACGATCACAGCTCACTGCAACCTAGAACCCCCAGGGAATAAGGGATCCTCTTGCCTTGATAGTGAGTAGCTGGGATTACAGGCACACACCACCAGGCCTGGCTATTTTCTTTTTTCATTAAAAAATAAATAAATTTTAGAGACAGGATCCCACTATGTTGCCCAATCCTGGGGTCAAGAGATCTTCCCACCTTGGCCTCCCTCCCAAAGCGCTGGAATTATAGGGGTGAGCCACGGTGCCCCATGCTCCTGTGGTTTTTTGATACAGCACTTTTGGAACCCATTACGATGCTGTCACCTGGACTTGAAGGCCAAGCCCCACAAACCCACTGGCTACTCATGAGCTCTATCCGGTTACCACTCACTGTTTTTTCTAAAAAAGACTTGGTTTTTGAGAGCAATTTTAAGTTCACAGCAACATTGAGAGGAAGGTACAGAGATATTCCAGACATAACCTGGAATATAACCTTATTGCTTTCAAAAGCCATCTTTTAAAATTTTCTTTTCTCTGATCCCCCAACTCTTGCCATTTTGAGGTATCGCCCCTAGAAGGGATTGTTACATCTGGTGCATGTTTTCTTGGCTTTCCTTCCCCCGGATTTGATCTGGGAGACTTCACAAGCACAGGAACAGGCATTGATGGAGCTTGTTGAACATGGGTGGGTTGACTTTTCTCCTGAAGGTATCGGAGAGACCCTCAGAGGAGGAAGGCTTTTGTAACACTCAGATATGCTGAGCCCCTGTTTTTCAAGGATAGGGTTTTGGAAAATGAGCAAATATGCAAACAAACTTGTGTTACATTTGGGCTTTATTGTGTGCCGGGTCACTAGACACTAGGCTGTGTGTGTGTGTGCGTGTGTGTGTGTTTAACCAGCATTATCTCAGTTATCCAGTCTAATCTCAGTAGTATTCACAGGAAGGATTTCTACATCCCTCGTAGAGTAGAGCTGCTGGCCAGGAAGTGTCCCTTCCTGTCACAGAACTTGCAGGTGCCCAGATAGGCCATCAGCACTGCCTTTCCCCAGTGAGGAAACTGAGGCCCTAGCAGGTTAACTCTCAAAGCATCCGAGGCTCACTATAGCAGTGACCAGCCTAGGTTAGATCAGGTCTCCTGACTCTCAGCCTGTCTGATATCCCATGGGGAGAAGATGGTGAGGACAAGATGAGACAATGTGTCCTGCCTGGGAGGGGTTCTCCTGGGAGCTGTCTCACACATGCCCTCTGCCTCCTGCCCTCTGCCTTAAAGTATGCACACTCCCCTTCTCTAGCCCTGGGTGGCACGCTTTACAAGGAGCCTAGCCTCCTGGCCGTTGGCTGGGGAATCACATAGCTTGCCATATTCCTGGGAAGCCCAGGGCGGGAGACAGAGCCCAGGGCCTGGTACTGGATCAGCCGGGACTTCTCAATCTGTGCCTGCTCCCCCCACATCCTATCTCTCTGCCTCCTTTCTCCTGCCAGCGACAACCACAAAGCTCCCTCTTGCCTGGAAGCAGAAAGAAGGTTCTTCTGTGCGCCCACGCAGCCAGGTCAGTGGGATCCCCTTGGTGAGAAAATTCTTCCTGGGTTTGGGCACGGATTGCTCTGCCTACAGGTGGGCAGATGCTCCTAAGCCCTTCACCTTGTGCTGGACAGCGAGCAGGCTCCACTGCACAGTGCGGGGCGTGGGTTTCTCTCTCATCACTGAGTCTAACCTCTATTTTTTTTTTTTTTTTTTAAGGAAGTTGTGATTTCTCCTTTGTTTCTCTTTTTTTGTTACTTCAAATTGACATCCTGACCTTGGGCAGAGTGTAGCAGGGAGCTTCCTTTTATTCTTATCTTTTTGTTTTGTGTTTTTGTTGTAAACTGTCTAAAACTGTTGGAGAATTTAATTTGGATACAGTGAAGCCAGATACCACAACATAAATTTATCCTCAAGACTCTGAGCTCTTAAAATGTGTAGGAAGGTCAGTTTTCTTCCCCTTTCTAAACTCAATGCGAATTTTTGTTTAGTAACTTTTTTCCCTACCTTGGTAAGACATCTTAGAGAAAGGATGGTTCAGAAAAGAAGTGGTCTGAGGTGGTGAGAGGATCGCTTGAGCCCAGGAATTGGAGGTTGCAGTGAGCTATGATTGCGCCACTGCACACCAGCCTGGATGACAGAATGAGATACCATCTCCTAAAAAAGAAAAAAGAAGAAGTGGCGTGTGCTTTTTCCACTTTGATGAAAAGAAAAAGTATGGAATGGATGTCTGCTAAGAAGCATGCTTCCTGCTTGGCCAATGCTGCTGGTTA